AGAGGTTTTATCCAGTGGTGTTAGTGGCATAGTAAAGTCCCCTACTATGACTGTATTGCTGTTGATCTCTCCCTTGATATCTTCCAGAAGTTTTTTATGTATTTGGGTGTTCCTGTTTTGCGTGCATATATGTTTACCAGAGTTATATCTTCTTGTTGAATTGTTCCCTTTAGTATTATGAGTGGCCTTCCTTATCTCTTGTTATGGCCTGTACTTTTAGGTCTCATTTGTCAGATAAAGTATTGCTACCCCAGCTTTTTTTTTCCAATTCCATTTGCCTGAAAATATTTTTCCCATTTCTTCACTATCAGACTGTGTGAGTCCTTTGTTCTGAGGTGGGTTTCCTGTAGACAGCAGATATATGGGTCAGGTTTTCTTATCCATTCAGCTACCCTATATCTTTTGATTGGGGCATTTAATCCATTTACAATTAAAGTTATTATTGATAGGTACTTGTTTGTTGCAGTTTTTATTCTTTATGCCTGTGTTCCTTCTTCCCTTCCTATTTTGTCTTTTTATAGCAGACCCTTTAGCATTTCTTGCATGGCTGGTTTGGTGGTAATAAACTTCCTTAGTCCATTTTTGTCTGTGAAGCTCCTGATTTGACCTTCAGTTTTGAATGATAGCCTTGCTGGGTATAGCAGTCTTGGATTCAGACCCTTCCTTTGCATGACTTTGTATATTTCATTCCATTTTCTTCTGGCCTGATGTGTTTCTGTTGAGAAATCAGTTGATAGTCTGATGGGAGATCTCTTGTAGGTAACTTTCTGTCTCTCTCTGGCAGCCTTTAAGATTCTTACTTTGTCATTGATGTTTGCCAATTTAATTATGTGTCTTGGTGTTGGTCTTTTGGGGTCATCTTGTTTGGAACTCTGTGAGCTTCTTGGACTTTTGTGAGTTTTTATTCTTCCCAATATCAGGGAAGTTTTCTGTCATTATTTCTTCAAACAGGTTTTCTATTCCTTGCACAGTTTCCTCTCCTTTTGGCACCCCTATTATGAGGATGTTGTTTCATCATGTTGTCCCAAAGCTCCTTTAAGTTCTCCTCCTGTTTTATTTTTTCCCCCCCAGTTGCTGCTCTGCTTGGGTATTTTTTCCTACCTTGTCTTCTAGCTCACTGATGCAGTTCTCAGCTTCTTCTAAGTCTAATGTTGATGCTTTCTATTGTATTCTTTATTTCAGCTATGTCTTTCTTCATTTCTTCTTGGTTCTTCTTCACTTCCTCTTGGTTCTTACACATGTTGTTGAATTTGTCTTCCATCCTTTTCAATGTCCTTATGACCATTGCTCTGAACTCTTTCTCTTACAAATTGCTTGCTTCCATTTCGTTTACTTTCTTTTCCGGTGATTCTCCTTTTCTTTTATATGTGGGCTGTTTCTTTGTCTCCCCATTTTCGCTCCTCTCAGGCTGTCTGGTTATGTGGCTCACTCTCTACCATGTTGGCTTAAAAGCCCAAAATGCAACTTGGCAAGACACAACACATAGGGCAGAAGACATGAATGTATTCACAATACCATTGACCACCAAAGAAAAGAGAATTAGGGGAGAGAATAGAGCCCAAAAATGATATTGAGAAAAAGAAAAAAGGTAAGAGAGAAAAGAAAAAGCAGCTAAAAGAATGGGTAAAAAATATATGTATATGGGGAGAAAACTCCAAAAAACCAACAGCTAATCCAAAAAATACAAACAACAGAAACCCAGGAAAGCAGGAGGGAAGCTGAATCTGAAGAGGCAGATCTTATTTTCAGAAGGTAAGGTCAAGGAATTGAATGAATGGGAAAATGGCCCTGATTCAGTATATTGGAGGTAGAAAAAGAGTGTTTGTATAAGAAGAAAAGTAAAAAACAAAATACTAAAAAAAAAAGTAGAAAATAATAATTGAAAAAAATATATATTAAGATATGTATATATAAAAGAAAATTTATATAAAAAATTTTCACCTTTATCTATGTATTCATCTATATTTGGAAAAAGAATAGAGAGCAGATAGGACTGAGTTGGTGATTAAAACTAATTAAGCTATTAGTAGAAGAAGAGAACAAGGGAGGAGTGGAAAAACAAAACATAAAATAAAAAAACAAAAACAAAAAAACCCAAACTAACAAACAAACAACAACAAGAAAGGAAGAAAGAAAGAAAGAAAGAAAGAAAAGAAAGAAAGAAAGAAAGAAAGAAAGAAAGAAAGAAAGAAAGAAAATTGGCTAGTGAAGAAAAAGAGAAGTGTGCATGGACTTGGAGCAGGGGAGAGGAAAGTAGATATATGAGTAGGCCAACACAGACTACTGTAATAGTAATGAATCAATAAAGCAGATAAAGAAGATCAATTTTCAACAGGGATTAAAAAGAAATCATAGAGAAAAACTAAAGCAGGAACAAGAGAAAAGAAACAGGATGAAAAAGGGAAAAGTGAGGAAGAAAGTGTTGGCATAAAGGAAAAACAGTAAAATAATGATTAAAAAATAAAAACAGAATGTAGAACACTAATCCAGAAAAAATTAAAAAATGGTAAAAAATAATAAAAATAATAATAAAGTGAAAAAAAAGTTTTTAGTTTCTTAAGTAAAAGGTAAAAAATAGTGAACTAGTGAAGTGTTGTTCACTTCAGCGTAGCTTCAATAACCCATAGGGGTTGGTTTAAGACCCCTCTCTATTGTTCTGCATGCCATGTCTCAGTTTCCTGTCAGGTAGTCAGCGCAGTGTTGAAGTACCCAGTGATCACTGCTCCTCTGTGTCAGTTGCCACAAACTTGGTTTCAAGCAGGCAGGATCAGTCTGCCCACTTTGTTTTCCTGCCTGCTTTCAGTTGTATTTACACAAGCGTCTATTTCTAACATAGCCCTGGTGGTGTTTCTGTATTAGTTTTGGGACCAAATGGCCCCTCAACCCAGAGTTTACTCTTCCTTTCCCTGCCGCACTCAAGACTGGGTTGGAGTGATGGACTGTCCCAGAGCTGGTTTCCTGCTCATCTCTCCTTATTCTGATCCCCAGTTTCTGCAAAAACCACCTTTCCCTGCATTCTCAGTGAGTGTTTTTAATTGGAAGATCCTATGTACTGGGCTTAGCAAGGAAAAGCAAGGAAGTCAAAAAGACAAAGCAACTGTGCTGCCCCGCATCTTTCTCCCCCTGGCACTGCATGGCCGGTATAGAACTTCGGGCTGCCTTTCTGGGCACAGTCTCCCATGGCTGTGGGCTTAGATCTAGAGTCTCCCTCTGCCAGCAGCCCTGTGGACTCCCTTTCACATTTGAGGGGTACACTGACCCTACAGGCCACAGATTTGATGCAGCGCAGTCTCCCTCTGAGACGCTGGTCCTTGCTGCTTGCGTTTCTTCCTCTAACCCAGATCCCCAGTCCTACCTCTCTATAGGCGATCTCTGACCTTTCTGTCCACAGATTTTCTCACTAGCTGTGTTTAATTTGCCAATTCTGGGTGGATGTTATTTGATTCAGCTGTTTCTTCTATCTGCTCTGTGAGAAGGTGCAGGGCATGTGCGCTTATTCAGCTGCTGCCTTGTCTCACCATGGACAAACTTTTTAGGCGCCCGCAGCCAGGGAGGCTGGAGTCTCGGTGTTCATGGGTTCACAGCCGAGGCAGCTGGTCCCTGGGCATTGTGGCTGTATGGTCCCCGGTGGTATCTGAGGTCTCCCCGGGTGAAGGTAAGGCTGGGCTTCCAATCACAGCCGCTGTCCACTTCAATTTGGCACAGTCTCTGTTGTAGAGCCGGCCTCCTCGGGAGATATTTCAGCAGTAGTAGAGGCTACCCAGCCAGGGGAGCTTGGTCTGCCAATCCCTGATAGTCCTGTGGAATATAACTGTCCCTCACTCACAGATACACACACTCCCCACATGCCCACGCACTCTCCTTTCGCTCTCTCACTCATACTATCTTGCTCACTGCCGTCCTGTTGGCTGCCATTTTGGATCTCAAAGGTATTATATATTTTAAGTGATTTTTTGAAATTCTAATTTATTTGAAAATTCATTTAATCAAAGGTCTATGTTTCAAAAAGTTTGTAAACCACAGAAAAATTAATCACATAGTGAAAGCAAGAGACAGGCTAGTGCTTTAAGCAGACTTGCAGTTATATGTGTCTTCTGCACTTTCCTGGCAGCTGTTTGTTGCTCTGTTGGAGCTTCGTAGATTTGTGATGCAGGGCATGCTGGGCTTGTGAAGGCCACTTGCAGGAGAGATCCTGGGCACAGGGACTTTCACAGCCAAGTCACCTTTCCTTTTGAGGGCTCTTTCCTGTTCCTTGAGCTTATTGCCTATTTAAGAATACTTGTGGAATGAAGTGGAAGCGATTGGTTTATCAGTTCATGAGTTGTAGAATATTAAATGTTGTAGGCCTGTGTAGCATTGTGAACAGACAGTCCTATATAATAAAAGCCTAATATGCTAAGTGACTGGTCATCTGGTCGGCTGTTCAACCAATGAAAGAATAATATGCTAATGATATGCTAAGGATGCTCAACTGCTCGCTGTGACGTGCACTGACCACCAGAGAGCAGACAGTCGACTGGTCGACCAGTCAATATGACATGCACCGACCACCAGGGGACAGGCGGTCAATGCAGGAGCGGAAACCACAGGCGTGGAAACATGGAACAGACTGATGAATTTCAGAGGGAAGCGGAAAGGGTGGGAAGAGATTAACCAAAGATCTTATATGCATAGTAGAGGCCCAGTGCATGGATTCATGTACCGGTGGGGTCCCTTGGCCTTGCCTGTGGGGATCAAGCCGAAACCGGCTCTCCAACATCCCCCAAGGGTTCCTAGATTGTGAGAGGGCGCAGGCCAGGCTGAGGGGCCCCACTGGTGCATGAATTTGTGCACCAGGTCTCTAGTACTCTATAAAAATTGATTGTATAGTTAACCCTGAAGAAAATACTAAATGAAAATTATTTTGTAGTTATATTTAGGTATCAAATATTTACCATTTAACATTGCCATTTATTAAATATGTCTTATCTTACAGTTCTTGTCCTTTGTTTTGCTTTTAGTTCTAGAAAAGATACCAGTGTAAAGCTCAAAACACCTCCTGTAGCCGAGGCTGGGTGGAATTTGTATATTGTGAATACAATCTCACCAGTGCAACTGTACAAAGAAATGGTACTCCTTTCAGACTTCTCATTCTTATTTGTAGAAATATACAGTGGAATTGATGACCAAAAATGGATTCTATCTTAACATTCAGAATGCCACACCCACCAGCTTTGTCTGACAGTGCAGTGTACATCTTTCTCCATCTTCTTATTTTTCCAACTCCTGACATTTGAGGAACTAGTAGAAATTCCCTTCATGAAAATAAGACTCCATTATTCATACCATCATCCTGTGAGGATTGATTAACCAATCTAAATATAAATAGCCTTTGACCTTCACTTTGAATCCTAGCAAAGAGAACCATGAAAGAAATGGAGCTGAAAGAAATCTTAGATCATTGATCCCTGTCTCATTCTTCTTTGAAATATCAGCAGGTTTTCCCTGGGCACTGCAACACCTGTAGCATTGCCCTGTGAATAGGGCCCCAGAGTGGGCATTCTTTTTTATTTTATTTTAGGCATTCTTATTCCTTTTCTAAAAGTGACAGCTGCCAACTCATTCTTGGCCATTTTTTAAACTCTTTATTTTGAAATATGTAATTTCAAACTTACAGAAAAGTTGCAAGAATAAGAATAGTACAAATAAAACCTGTATATTCCCTACTTAGATTTACCCTGAGTATATATCCCTTGCTTCTCTCTCTCTCCCCTCCCTCTCTCGCCCCCCTCACTCTTGCACTTTCTACACACACAAACACACATGTTGTTTTCTGATCCTTTGGAAAATAAATTGCATAGATCATAGTCTAAGGTGAAATACTTCAGTGTATGTTTCCTAAGAATCAGGATATTTGCTTGTATAGTAGGGCAGTCATGTGCTTCAGTACATTTAACACTGACGCGATACTTTAGTCTCTGGTTCATATTTCATTTTTGTCAGTTACCCTAATGGTCTAATAGCATTCCCCTACTCCGATCCAGGATCCACTCTGGCACCAGGTATTGTATTTGTCATGTCTCTTTAGCCCTTTAAAATCTGGAATATGTTCACAGCCTTTTTTTTATGACATAAACATTTTTGAAAAATGTATTTTCCCTTTTCCACCTTTTATAATTTTTTGTGATTAGCTTATCCTTCCTGGCCAGAATATTGCACAGGTGATTCAGTAGTGTTTAGTGTGTTTCTCAGGGTATGACCTTGATGATATCCATCTGCCCCTTATTGGTGATGTTAATTTTGATCATCAGGTCAAGGTTTTGCCTGATCTGTCACAGGCATTTTAATGCTGATGATTGTATCAGCTTTGGTCTGGTTTTTAAGTTTTGTTTAATTGAAAATCTGAGACTTCATCTAGATGATTTGCCTACTAGAATCTGTACAGATACAGATTGGTTCAGATAGCCCGTGATAAATTTTTATCAGCCCTCTGCAAGTTACAGAAATAGATGTAATATGATTTCAATTCACCAGTTGAAACTAACAGAAGGGATACTCAGTCTGAATTTGAGAAATATTTAAATCATAGAACTTTAAAAAAGAGTTAACTATTTCAGAGGTTCATTAGCTTTATTACTAAGTTAACAGTATTATTAGTATTACAGTATTATTTGTACTTTTTCTAATGAGCCCTGTTTAACAAAGGAGTATTTACAATTGTATGTATAAAACTGGCTCATAGATTGGGATTGGGTACCTAGTCCCTGCCAGAATGATAATTACTTTTTAGGACTTAATGTGTCCAAATATTAATTTTATTAACAAAATATATAAGTATTCTTAAGAACTGGGAAACTTTTAAGGTTTTTTCTGCTGCAACATTAGCTATTTGCTTTTTTCGTTTTAGGTAGACTACAGTAATACCTACAAGACTGCAAAAACCCAGAGCTGCATCCACCTTCTTAGTGAGGCCCATCTGTTAGTGAGAGCTGCCCTGATGGATGCCAGTCAGCTGGAACCTGGAGAAAAAGCAGAACTTTTAGAAGCATTTAAAGAAAGCTGTGGGCACCTAGGAGACTGTTACAGCAGGTTGATGATGCTTTTTGGAAACTTGTTAGAGAAACTGTCTTGAACTTTGGGTGTACTTGCTATCTTTTCCATCTCTGGTAGTTACCTGATAATTGGGGGTACGCATGAGGGGAGGTGGCTCATTTATTTATTTCACAAGCATTTGTTGAGCACATACAATGTGACAGGTATTGTGCTAAGCTTAGAGATACAAAGATGAATGTTACCTGCCTTCAGGTAGTTAGTTTATTAGGTGAGTAGTGAGTCTCAAGTTCATGAGTCTCCCACCACTTAATTTATGAATTGGAAGTTTCTTTTCATGCCTCAAGATGGGGATATTGTGGGGCATGACCAGTAAAATCCCTGACAGTGAAAGCAGTATTACTAGTTTATTCCTTGTTAGCTTTAAGGGAGAGATACCAGTTGGATGTTCTGCGGTTTTTTAATCTTAGTAGTCAATGCTTTTATGATGCTAGAAAAGGACACTAGTATGAATAATGATTTTTATTTCTGAGAATGATGTTTATAAATTGTTTTGTATATGATTGTTTCAAAGGCTTATTTGACCAATTATAAATTAATAAAACAGACTTTTCCTACCTATAAACACCATTATTTTATAGCCACATTATGAAAATAAAATTCATTTAATGAATTTTTTTCTATTTTTTTTATGGTCAAGCAAAAATAACTACATTAATTAGAAGGGCTTTGCAGAATAAAACTTAGGAGCTTATTCCAACTACTAATGAGAGTAGAAAAGTATTTTGAGAATGATGTCATCTGGAAAGCATAATCTATTTTATTATGAAGTGTATTAGATATCTTGGCTTAAAAATGACAAATCTGAGCTTTCTTTGCTTCCTTTTCTTCAGGCTTGACACCCAGTATTCGCACCTCGCCTTGCCCTACTATAAGATGTCTGGTTTATCTATGGCTGAAGTTTTGGCTCGAGTGGACTGGGCAGTCGAGGAAGGATCACAGAAATATGAGAGGGGGTTAATCTTTTACATTAGTCATTCACTTTATGAGAACCTGGATGAAGAATTAAGTGAAGTGAATATGGTTTTCTGTTTAGTTATATCTAATATTTTTAAGTTTTTATTTCAGCAATTTATTTTATGTAATACCATTAAGAAGTCAATTTCCAAATATTTTTCCTTGGTAATAGTTTCTTTTCCTAAAATGGTGACTAATGTGCCCATTTCTTCATTAATAATTATAGAATTATAGCTTGGAAAGGAACTTACAATCATCTTATCATACTTTCTCATTATGTAGACAGAGAAATGTGATCCATTGTGATTGAGTGACCTGCCCAATGTAACAGTTGTTTGTCTTTAGAAGAATGACACAGAAATGTGGGCTTTGCTTCCTTCTCGACTGCAGCCCTTTTACAACCCTAGTCATCCCACTCTCCAAGTGTCCAAAGCTTCACTTAAAATATCCTAGCATAGTGACCTTAACACATTATTAAGGATTATTTGTAGCCCCTCGTGTATTTTTACTTTTTAAAAATAGGTTTTTATTGATTTTAGGGATAGAGGAACATTGATGTGAGAGAGAAACATTGATTGGTTGCCTCTGGTATTCACCTTGACTAGGGATTGAACCAACTCAGGCTTGTACCCTGACGTAGAATTAAACCAGCGACTCCCTAGTGTACAGGACAATGCCCAACCAATTGAGCCATACCAGCTAGGGGCAGTGGTCAACAAACTCATTAGTCAACAGAGCCAAGTATCAACAGTACAACGATTGAAATTTCTTTTGAGAGCCAAATTTTTTAAACTTAAACTATATAGGTAGGTACATTGTTATTAACTTAATTAGGGTACTCCTAGGCTTAGGAAGAGCCACACTCAAGAGGCCAAAGAGCCACATGTGGCTCGTGAGCCGCAGTTTGCCGACCACGGAGGTAGGGCCCTCATGTATTTTTAAAAAGATGAATACAGTTTTGCAAAGTTAGATACTGTGATACAAAATGTTTTAAGATTTTGAGAGAAATGAAAATTTATAATAAATTACCCCATTAAGTATATTTTGTACTAAGCTGTAATTTCTTGTAATGGACTTTTGAATGTGATATAATCTAATATTTTCTTCTTCTGAATGCTTGTTAATGTTAGAAGTGCTGGCCACAATTTGGTATATATTTTCACTGCTTTTTCATTTTAACTCAGCAAAGAAATTACTTCAAGTAATCTGAGTTCGCCCACATTATCATCATCAACTCTGTCTTTTTAAATCAAAACATAGTACTATAATTTTATTTTAATTGAAATGTTATATCTTAGCTTTGTATCATTATTTCCCCCTGATTTTGTTGCTTTCTGTTAACTGACTGGCCTTTTATTTCTCATTCATACTCACTGAAGGAATTAGCAGTAAAAGTGGTTCAGATGTTTCATGTGGCTGAGCCAAAGCAGCTGCCCCATATCCTCTGTAGTCCTTCTATGAAGAATATTAACCCTCTAACTGCCATGAGCTATCTAAGGAAACTGGATACTTCCGGGTTTTCATCAATCTTAGTGACATTGACCAAGGCAGCAATGGCTCTGAAAATGGGAGATCTTGACATGTACAGAAAAGAAGTGAAAAGCCATTCAGAGGTATGGTGCCATGCCTGGTATTAACAGCAGGCTGAAATAAGACCGGTAGTCCTGAGGTGTTTAGCTTTCTTCTGGCTTCTGTCTAGCTCATTTTTTCTTGGTTATAAAGGAAAATAGACTTAATATTATAAAGGAAGTGACCCAGAGGGAATGCTTGAGCTTTGGATCTGGCAAATAAAAAGAATTATAAATGGCAGCAGTGGGTATCCAAAGACCTTTCAACTTAGGTACGTTTAGAGCATGGGAAACATATGGGCTCTTTCCAAGCCAACCGTCAGCATGAGGGAATGCCTTGCCCACTGAAATACAGTAGAGTGAAGTGTATTCAAGTACAGCAGGTGGGATATTAGCTGTGAGTCTTAGGAGGTCCAGTGGTTGCAGAAATAGCCTGCACCTGGGAAAATCACAAAGGACTATCTGGAGGATTGGGCATTTGAATTATATAGCAAAGAAAAGGTAGCTTTCCCTTGAAAAAGAGGCCATTTGGGAGCATGAGCAAAATGTTAATTATTAAGGGAAGAAATTGTGAGGCAACATTAATTGAACGATGTCCCAGGCCTATTCCCTTGCATATGTTCTCTAATTTTTGAAACAATGCTATAAGGTAGATGCTATTATTATACTTATTCTACAGATAAGGGAACTAAGCCAAAGAAAGGTTAAATAACTTGTTTAAGATGACAATGCTGATGAGTGTAGAATTAGGATTTAAAGCAGGCAGTCTATCTTCAGATCTGTGCTCCTACACTGTTGTTTTACTGCCTGACTATAGGCAAACATCCACAGTACGACTTTGGTTTCTAAAACAAGAAAAGCAGGAGTGCTTTATCATAATGAGAAGAGCAAGTCAACATTGAGGTGTCCTTTGCTTTGAAGAGTAGAATTCTAGAAAGATGAATTTTCTGTCCATAATTTTGAAAAAACTTAAGGTATATTATTATTAAATCAAGTAAACTTAAATATAAAGCTTTCTCCAAAAATAGGGCATCTTGATGCTTAATTAAATATTAATAACTTCTATGAAGATAGTTAACCAATGTTCTTAAAGTAAGAACTAGTCTTTATAGTTAAAGAGAAAATTGAGATTAAATTATTAATAGCTTAACCATGAATCTTGAATGCACTAGTATGTATTTATAAGATGAATGCAATGTACATTTTGTTCCTAAATTTATTTTTTATCTTTAGATGAAATTAGTATGTGGCTTTATTCTTGAACCTCGGCTATTGATTCAACAGAAGAAGGGACAGATGGTTCCAACTGAGCTTGCAGTTCACTTGAAAGAGACCCAGCCTGGGTTGCTTGTGGCTTCAATCTTGGGGTTGCAGAAGAACAACAAGATTGGGATTGAAGAATCAGATTCCTTCTTTAAGGTTTGTCAATTTCCAAATATTAATTGTTCTAGATAAAATTGGTAGCGGCCCGGGAACAGAATAAGAGAAGTGAGTTTTTATTTGTTTATTGAAAAAAAACAAACTTAGACATAACCAATTTATAAAAGAATATATGTAGAAAATTTTCATCCATGCAAGCTTGAATTTGTTTCCTGTTAAAATGTCTAAGTGTGCTGTGCCATGGCACTAGTGTTAACAATAGATTATGAAATGCATGGTCCACATGATGGAATGCTGTTCAGACCAGTTGTAACTCGATCAATACTATATTTATCTGTGATATGGGGGCTTGTTTCACACGTTCAAGGTGCTCTGTGGTAAGGATGGAGATATGATTCCTCAGCTGTTGGTGGACTTTTGGGAAGCTCAGCTGATAGCATGTCTCCCAGATGTGCTACTGCAGGAACTCTTTTTCAAGCTCACATCACAATACATCTGGAGATTATCAAAGAAGCAGCCCCCTGACACCATACCATTGCGAACATCAAAGGATCTGGTAAGATAATGGAATAATACATTACACATTACAATAATGTACCTTCTTATTTTGAATGGCTTTGAATTAAACCTAAGTTTTATCACCAGATATCTTTTTTTAAGCAGGAGTTAAAAGTACACTTGGAACTTGTCCATGAGTGAAGTTGCCCACATTTTAAATAATTTTGTATTCTAAAGAGTGCCTGTACTGCCTCTGTGTTCCTGACTTGCAGTGGTACCTCAGTAGCTAAAGTATGAGGGAAGGGGCTTTCCCAGAACATGTCTGTGCTTCCCAGGATGGCCATGATGTAGAACAGGAGAAAAGACATCTGCTGACCTCCCTTACATGTGAGGGACTGTGGAAAAGGATCCCATTATGTCCTGTCAGCTGCACACATAAGAGCTGTTCTGTAGCCCTCATGGCAGCCCTCACCACTGCTTTTACCCATCCTGCTCCTTTCCCCTACCAGCTTCTCTACTCTCATGAATGCCACAGCTAACTGGAAAAGACACCAACTTTTTGAATAATAGGGCTTTTAGGGGAATCATCTTGAGAACTTACAGAGAAATTTTGTCTCCCAAGGAAAGTAGTAGAAATAAAAAATTATTTCTAATATTATTAACTTTTTTTAAGTATAATTAGCTTAAAAGCACTATTGCTTTTTTTGCTAGAAAGGGCCTCCTTGGAATATTTTAAAATTTAAAGTATTAAGAAATATTCAGTGCAGATTTGTTCAGTGAGAAGCAGGAAGACTGAAACTTTCCCCAGGGGATAGATTCTAAATGACTTCCCTTCTCATTCCCAGGAAGGTGTGTACTTAACTCTGCAACACGACTGAGGACTAGTGATTGCTTGTTCTATATAGCATGGATGAAGAACATCTGTTTTGTTGTATTATGTTTATATTAATTTCTTTTACATTTTAGATAAACGCCTGTAGCCATTATGGCTTAATCTATCCATGGGTTAATGTCTTAATAACATCTGATTCCTTAGCTGACAAAAATTATACAGAAGATCTCTCCAAATTACAGGTAAATGAAAATGCCTCTTTTTAATGAGTATACATATTACAATTTAATGTAGGCTATACATTTGGTAAGACTTCAGATGTGTTCATCTAGAATGTATAATTTTGAGGGGAAAATCCACAGGCATGCTCAGATGCTCTCCTGCCTCTGCCTGAAACTGCTCACAGGAAGGCTGCTTTCGTTACCATAAATGAGCAAGCACCCAAGTCACATGACTGTCTTGGCTCTTTTTCAGCTTGTGCTTGAAAACACTTTGTGAAATGCATATGTGGCAAATGTTTAGCAGAGTTTTATTGGTACGATTTATGTTTTTCCAGTCTTCACTCATACATTTTAGGCCTCTGGCCCAATCCAGCCACTACTGTCTGTTTTGTAGGAAATAGTTCAAAGTAGCCAATTTATTTGGCTCCTGAAAGGATTAAAAAAAGAAAAAGGAAGAAGTATGATCAGAGAGTGTAGATCATCCTGCAGGAATTCTGACTGTGACAGTGTCTTGACCAGAATGAGAAATAAAGTCTACATTTGACTTAGACCAGTCTGGGCTAGATGTGGATATGATTTTGTTTAATGTAGTTCAATGGTCCAAGGATCAAATAGAATCCACAAATCTGTTTTGTTTGGTCACCCAGAGTATCTACTAACATATAAAAATTAAGAATTCTGAGTTTCACATTTCTCTTAAAAAATTCAGCAGACCTAGTAACCCTGGGCCCTCATTGCCTAAGAACTGCGGGTTGGAGCCATCCAATGGCTGGCTGTTTTGCCGCTACCGTTTTTTTGGTCTAGACACTGAGCCTGTAGTGTCCAGTTTCCTTACACCCAGCTGCCTTTTGGCTTCCTTAGTTTTTTGAGTTTGCAACCCATCATTTTCCCTGGGAACAGGTATAAGTGTGGTTATTGCCTATGGAAACCAAAATTGGGGATGAAGGTTGGGAGGGAAGCTCAGCAGGCATATTGCTTGGATAGCCTCTGTGTTGTCTCCAGAAATAGAGTTACTTACATTCTTAAAAAATCACCAGAGAAGAGTCTTCTTGGTTCTCATTTTTAGTACCTTTATGATGTAGAGGCTACTGAGCCCCAGGCTTGTTCATTCCATAGATATTCCTTGAACATATACTGTAGATTTGTACAACATGGGACCAGGCAGGCAGGGCCTTGCTCTCCCGGAACATGTGCACTAATCACCTATTTAACATCATAATTGTAACAAATGCTATTAAATCTCACCTGATAAAGCATATTTGTAATCACTGCTTGAAAAAGTATAATATAGAGGTTTAAAAAGGAGTCTTTGCTGTTAAAGGATAGAAATGTAGTCAGCCTAAACATCTCTAAGTCACTTTCCTAATTATATCTCTTTCTAGATTATCTGTGGGTCAATTATTCTTAGTTATTAAGAACAAAATAACTCTCAAGAAACAAGAAGATTTTATGTGGTTCTCACCTAGAGGAATGGGGAGGTTCAGGATCACCCAGAGAGGTTTCTCAAAATTGTATGACTCCCTCCACCCCCACCTACCACCACTACACAAATTTAATGTGTCTCTTGTCCTCAGTCACTGTGACAGTACATTTTTGCAAAAATAAAATAAAAACAATATAGAAATCACCTACATGTCAAAAAGCTGCTGTCTGAAATGACACAGTACGTAGTAAATGCCCTGCCCTTTGCCAAAATTGTCATGGGCCCCTCTCCCACTTCCTTGCTGAACATCTCACCTTTAGAGCAACAGTTGATTGAGTAGGTAGAGGAGCCCCAGAAGTCTGGGTTCCAGTCCCGCAGAGCCGGCTGAGGGCAAGGGATCTAAATCAGAGAAGGGAGTAAATGGTACCTGTGCTGGGGTGGAGAGTCCACTTCCTATTTTGAAAGAATAATGGAGCAGTCTGCTAAGAAGCAGACAGCACTGAGAGTATTTTAAAGGGCAGTAGTAACCTTTGGACCATTTTTTAATTCAGTAATATATGTGTTGTCTGGTGTATTTTACTTTTAAACTTCTTGATGATATGGATAAAATTAAGGAAAAGTTCATGAGTAATCATCTTGTACCAAGCTTTGACTAATTGCATTTTAACCATGCCTTGCTCCTTCCGATATAGAAATAATCTTTTATGTTGGGAGATCTATGAGTGGCAAGTTATCACCTTATTTTGTGTTTGCTATCTTACTACCAGGAAATTACTCAGGTGAAGGTGATTATTAAACTTGCAGGAAGGAAAGGGATCAACCTTATTCTCCTAGCCATTCCTTGGTAGAGATTGGAATAAAATAAGCACACTGACTATATAAATAGATAGTTCACATTCTATATCCTTCTGTAAGCCTGAGAAGCTGTAGCAAAAAGGATACAGGAAGAAGAAAATCAGTATATGATCTTTTCATCTTTATCCAGAAGAAAGGTGGTAGAATAAAAAATATTACAGTTAAATAAAACAAAACAGTAGGACAGTTGGCCCTTGAGCATCATGGGTGTTGGGAGCACCAGCTGACCGCACAACGGAAAATTCATATGTAACTTGAGTCGGCCCTCAGCACTGCCAGTTGACTCTTTAATGATGGGTTTGAACTGTGTAGGTAACTTGAAAAAATCTGCATATACGTGGACCCATGCAGTTCAAATCCACATACTAAGGGTCAACTGTATTTGTAGTTTGCTTAAAAGTTAAATATTGGTTACAGTTCTGAATACTGAAATAGTACCTGCTCTTTATTCAGCTTGTGGCAAATGGTGTTGATACAAATTATTAGGTTCTTAACAGTTGCGTTAGTTTTTTTTAAATGTTAAATTTTATTTTGGTTATATGTGTAGTGCATGCTTATTATAGAAACTTTGGAAAATATAGGAAAAAGACACAAGTAGGCTTTGTCCTCCCATTCATTGAGCTGATCGCTGTCTCAAATTCTATGCTCTCCCAAAGGCATTTCTATATGTTTATGTACCTGTGAATATTTTATGAAACTGATTGTGCTCTGAATATAATTTTGTATTAAGATGTTTTTACTCTCATTTTATCATGAGTATTTTGTCATTAAATGGCCTTCAAAAACAATTTTGGTGGCTATATAATACCATCATACAGATGTACCATAATTTACTTACCCCTTTTTGTGTAACATTTAGGTTCCTCCTACTTTTTCAGTATTATAAATATTCTTGTGGTAAACATCATTGGATATAAATCTTTTACCATGATGTTGATTATCTCCTTAGGATGGAGTCCCTAAAGCATTCCCATTAGTTTTAAAATGCAGTCCTTGCAAAATAAATAAAATCATGTTATTTTTTTAAATGATTGTTTTCTATTAAATAGATTGTTATTCTTCAAACTAGAGGTGGTTAAATATTATTTAATACTTCACTTAAACTTAATGAGTATCATATATGTGTGCTCTAAAATTGCATTCTTCTTTTTCTTAAAAAAAATTTTACTCTCATATGTTGTGCTCTAGATTTTGGGGTGCCTCATTCCATAACCTTTCACTTTTCTGTTCATAGTCTCTTATATGTGGTCCTTCATTTGACATAGCTTCCATTGTTCCGTTCTTGGAGCCTCTCTCAGAAGACACTGTTGCTGGCCTCAGTGTCCAGGTTCTGTGCCGGACGCGTCTGAAAGAGTATGAGCAGTGCATAGACACACTGCTAGAGAGGTGCCCAGAGGCGGTCGTTCCATATGCTAATCATGAACTGAAAGAAGAGAATCGGGTATGCTTTTCAGATTACATTTTCTAGATCAGTGATAATCAGATTTGATCATCTGCAAAATAGGGACAGATTAATGCCAGTCCAGCTTCACAGGACTGTGCAGGTCAAATGAGCAGATATATTAACATGCTATGTGTTTTGAGTACTGTTAGGGGCTATTAAAATGTATGGTGATGATATGTTATCTTCATTAAAAATCACTAATTTGAAGATGAAGTAGGCTATTTCTGAAGATTTGGGAAACTTAATGATAATGGGAAAATATTTTTTGGGCTACATGGTCTTTAGTTTAGAAATTAGAGATCTAGACTTTAGTCCTTTTTATTTTCTTCCTTCCTTCCTTCTTGCCACCTCAGACATAATCCAGGACATGTCTATGTTTCTTCGTGAAAGTGGCTATGTACTTATGCACAGTGTACTATTAGATTTTCACGCTACAAATCTGACTTCTATGTTATAGTTTAAACTGAAGACTGGCTGCTGCTACAACTTCTGTTATAACAAAGTTGTCACCTTAACCAAAATGATGCATTTTGGTCCAGTACTTTCCTGCACCATCTTCTCATTCTTTTTGGAAATCTTAATGTAAAATGCAGCAAACTTAAAACTTATTCATTCTTTCCTAAGATAGACTTTGTGGTGGAAAAAACTGCTGCCTGAACTTTGTCAGAGAATAAAATGTGGCGGAGAGAAATATCAACTTTACCTGTCATCATTAAAAGGTAAAATGATCATTTTTGCTTGATTATATATTTAATTGCATCTTAGCTTTAGTTTCCGTAATTTGTTGAAGCCCTGCTTTCTCTAATGAGGGGAAGAGGTTCTAATCGGCTGGAGCTGGCTTTCAGCGTTCAAACTCCCCCTTTGTATTTGACATGCATTCATCTCTTCTAGCTACAGAGCTCACCCTTTCAGTTAATCTTTTCAAACATAAGTTATCATAGCACCAGAAAGTAACAACATCAGGATTTCAAAAATTGGAATTTTCATTAATACAATTACATTTTTATTAGTGCTTAATTTATTTCATGAAGGAAATTAAGATGGTTATCATTATTAATCATAATTATAAGCAAGTATTGAGGAATTACAAGGTTCTCAAGGATTTTAAAGTGGTGTGTCTCTAAATTATGCAGTATTTTATAGCATTGGTAGTTATTTTGTAAATTTCAAAATAATGCTTTGTAAATCTTGATAGATACATGGTTATCAAGTTCTTACTCTTGTGTTAATATCACCACTTTAATTGTTGGCCTGATGACAGAGGGTGTGGCTACAGTGATTCCAGTGTTGGAGTTGTGTTTTCTAGCAGAGCTCATTGTCTTTAAAGTGTTAGGCAGAATCAGTGCTTATTGGAAGGAGTTTTTCTGAAAATCTCCCTTCATGATTGGGAGGAGGTGACTATACTCGAACGTTTTGTGCTGCCCATCTCCCTGATTGTTCTTTGGTTTTCAGAAGATGGAAGTGTCAGGTGTTTGATTGCCTGACCCACCTGCATCATATTTATCACAGAATTTTGAAATGATCATTTGTGTTAGTGCAGTGGTTCTCAACCTTGGCTGCACATTAGAATCACCTGGGAATCTTTTTAAAATCCTGATTTCTGGGCCTCATCCTCCGGAAATTCTGTTTCTTTGTTACTAATGTTGTGGCCCCACCCCATAACAAAGAAACAGAATTTCCGGAGGATGAGACCAGAAATCAGGATTTTAAAAAGATTCCCAGGTGATTCTAATGTGCAGCCATGGTTGAGAACCACTGTGTTAGTGGATCACTTTCCAGTGCAGAGAGCCCACATCTTCACACCTCAGACACATATTACCTTACTCAAAAGACTCTTTACCCTTTTTAAATGTGTATTTTTCTTTAATTAAATTTATTGGGGTGACATTGGTTAATAAAATTATATAGGTTTCAGGTATACAATTCTATAATACATCCTCTGTATATTATTGTGTTTACCACCCCAAGTCAAGTCTCCTCTGTCACCATTTATCCCCCATACAACCTCTCAACCTCTTCTACTTACCCCCACTCCCTTTCCCTTTTGGTAATCACCATACTATTGTCGGTGTCTATAAGGTTTTTAGGTTTTGTTTGTTTCACCTTTTTCTCCCTACCTAAAACCTGTCACCCCTCTGATAGCAGTTTGCTCTCTATCTATGAGTATGTTTCTCTTCTGTTTGTTAGTTTATTTTGTCTATTAGATTTCGCTTATATGGTATATGTCTTTCAGTAATTAACTTATTTCAGTTAGCATAATGTTCTCCAGGTCCATAGATGTTATTGCTAAGGGTAAGATTTCCTTCATTTTTGTAGCCTCCTAGTATTCCATTGTGTAGTTGTACCACAGCGTTTTTATCCACTCATCTACTGATGGACACTTGTGCTGCTTCAGAATCTTGGCTGTTACACAGGGGTGCATGTGCATATATTCTTTCCATTTAGTGTTTAAGGTTTCTTCAGATATATTCCCAGAAGTGGATTCATTGGATTATAAGGCAGTTCCATTTTTAAAAATTAAATCTTTATTATTGAAAGTATTACATATAACCCCCTTTTTCTCCTATTGGCCTCTTCTAGCCCGCCCCCATCTCCCACCTCAGGCCTTCACTACCCTATTATCTGTGTCCATGGGTTATGCATATATGGATAAAAGTTCATTGGTTGATCTCTTCCCACCACCACCCCCTCCCTCTAAGATTCTGCAGTCTGTCCCATGCTTCTAGGTCTCTGGATCTATTTTGTTCATCAGTTTATTTTGTTCATTAGATTCCATATATGAGTGAGATCATGTGATACTTGTCTTTCTCTGACTCACTTATTTCACTTAGCATAATACTCTCCAGTTCCCTCCATGCTTATTTTTTTTAGGTAGGCCTGTAGTGCCTTTCAGGACTGCTTTAGCTGTGTCCCAGAGATTTGGGTTGTTGTGTGTTTACTTTCATTTATTTCCAGGAATTTTAAAATTTCTTTTTTGATCTCATTGGTAACCCATTCATTGGTTAATAACATATTCTTTAGCCTCCATGTGTTCGAATGTTTTTTACTGTAGTTGATTTCTAATTTCATTTCATTGTGATCTGAAAAGATGCTTGATATAATTTCAATCTTCTTGAACTTGTAGAGACTTGTTTTATGTCCTAACATGTGGTCTATCTTTGTGAATGATCCATGTGCACATGAGAAGAATGTATATTGTGCAGCTTTGGGGTGAAATGTTCTACAAATGTCAGTTAAATCCATCTGATCCAGTGTGTTATTTAGAGTCACTGTTTCCTTGCTAATTTTTGTCTAGAACTGTGGTTGGCAAACTGCGGCTCAAGAGCCACATGCGGCTCTTTGGCCCCTTGAATGTGGCTCTTCCTAAGCCTTAGGAGTACCCTAATTAAGTTAATAACAATGTACCTACTTTTATAGTTTAAGTTTAAAAAATTTGGCTCTCAAAAGAAATTTCAATCGTTGTACTGTTGATACTTGGCTCTGTTGACTAATGAGTTTGCCGACCACTGGTTTAGAAGATCTATCCGGTGAAGTCAGCAGCGATTTAAAGTCCCCTACTATGACTGTTTTGCTGTCAATCTCTCCATTAAAGTCCTTTAGAAGTTTTTGTTTTGTTTTGTTTTTAATATATTTAGGTGCCCCTATATTGGGTGCTTATATGTTTGCCTGGGTTATACTCTCTTGTTAAATCGATCCCTTTTAGTATTATGTAGCGACCTTTGTTGTGTCTTGTGATGGCCTTCATTTTGAAGTCTAGTTTGTCAGATATGAGTATTACTACCCCAGTTTTTTATGTTTCCATTTGCATGGAAAAAAATTTCTCATCCTGTGTGAGTCTTTTGTTTTAAGTGGGTCTCTTCTAGACAACATTTAGTTGGGTCATGATTTTGTATACATTCAGCTACCCTATGTCTTTTGATTGACGCATTTAATCCATTTACGTTTAAGGTTATTATTGACTAGAGGCCTGGTGCATCAAATTTGTGCACTGGAGGGGGGGTGTCTCTCAGTTCAGCCTGCATCCTCTCCAATCTGGGACCCCTTGGGGGATGTCTGACTCACAATCCAAGACTGCTGGCTCCTAACCACTCGCCTGCTTGCCAGCCTGATCGCCCCCTAACTGCTTCTGCCTGCCAGCCTGATTGACATCTAACTGCTCCCCTGCTGGCCTGATCGCCCCCATCTGCCCTCCCCTGCAGGCCCGATGGCTCCCAACTGCCCTCCTCTGCCGGCCCGGTCACCCCCAACTGCCCTCCCCTGCCGGCCTGGTCGCCCCCAACTGCCCTCCCCTGCAGGCCTGGTCCCCCCTAACTGCCCTCCCCTGTGGCCTGATGGCCCCCAACTGCCCTCCCCTGCCGGCCATCTTGTGACAATGTGGGGTCAGCCATCTTGTGACGATGTGGGGACGGTTATCTTGTGGGGACGGCCATCTTGTGATGACATGGGGGTGGCCATCTTGTGGCAGCCATCTTGTGATAACAGGACAGCCACCTTGTGACAGTGTGGGGGCTTCAAATAATGGCACTTTCTTCTCCTTCTGGCACTCCTAGTCTGTGAATACTAGAGGCCTGGTGCATGAAATTCATGCACTTGGGGGTGGTGTCCCTCAGTCCAGCCTGCACCCTCTCCAATCTGGGACATCCCTCTCACAATCTGGGACTGCTGGCTTCCAACTACTCGCTTACCTGCCTGCCTGATTGCCCCTAACAGCTTCTGTCTGTCAGCCTGATCACCCCCTAACCACTCCCCTGCCAGCCTGATCGCCCCCAACTGCCCTCCCCTGCCAGCCCAGTCGCCCCCAACTGCCCTCCCCTGCTGGCCCGGTAACCCTTAACTGCCCTCCACTGCAGGCCTGGTCGCCCCTAACAGCCCTCCCCTGCTGGCTGGGTCACCTCTAACTGCCCTCCCCTTCTGGCCATCCTGTGGCTGTGGGCACCACCATCTTTGAGGGTGTGGCAGTCAATTAGCATATTCCCTCCTTATTGGTTGTGGGCGCCGCCATCTTTGAGAGTGGGGTAGTCAATTAGCATATTCCTTCCTTATTGGCTATGGGCGCTGCTATCTTTGAAGGTAGAGCAGTCAATTTGCATATTCCCTCCTTATTGGCTGTGGGTGCCATCATCTTTGAGGGCGTGGCAGTCAATTCGCATATTCCCTCCTTATTGGCTGTGGGTGCCATCATCTTTGAGGGTGTGGCAGTCAGTTCGCATATTCCCTCCTTATTGGCTGTGGGCCCCGCCATCTTTGCGACGTTGTGAAGGTCAGTTAGCATATTCCCTCTTTATTAGATAGGATTGTTTTGATTCATGTTGTCCCATAGCTCCCTTAAGCTGTCCTCCTGTTTTTTAATTGTTATTTCTTTTTGGTTCTCTGATTGAGTGATATTTTTCTGCCCTATCTTCTAATTCACTGATCCAGTTCTTAGCTTCCCTTAATCTGCTGTGTATTCTTTCCAGTGTGTTCTTTTTTTTTTTTTAATTAAATCTTTATTGTTCAGATTATTACATTTGTTCCTCTTTTTTTTCCCCCCATAACTCCCCTCCTCCCAGTTCCCGCCCCACCCTCCGCCCTCACTCCCCACCCACTGTCCTCATCTATAGGTGCACGATTTTTGTCCAGTCTCTTCCCGCATCTCCCACACCCCTTTCCCCCCCAGGAATAGTCAGTCCATTCCCTTTCTATGTCCCTGATTCTATTATAGTCAACAGTTCATTCTGTTCATCAGATTATTTATTCACTTGATTCTTAGATTCACTTGTTGATAGATGCATATTTGTTGTTCATAATTTGTATCTTTACCTTTTTCTTCCTCTTCCTCTTCTTAAAGGATACCTTTCAGCATTTCATATAATACTGGTTTGGTGGTGATGAACTCCTTTAGCTTTTCCTTATCTGTGAAGCTCTTTATCTGACCTTCAATTCTGAATGATAGCTTTGCTGGATAAAGTAATCTTGGTTGTAGGTTCTTGGTATTCATCACCTTGAATATTTCTTGCCACTCCCTTCTGGCCTGCAAAGTTTTTGTTGAGAAATCAGCTGACAGTCGTATGGGTATTCCCTTGTAGGTAACTGAGTTTCTTTCTCTTGCTGTTTTTAAGATTCTCTCTTTATCTTTTGCTCTTGGCATTTTAATTATGATGTGTCTTGGTGTGGTCCTCTTTGGATTCCTTTTGTTTGGGGTTCTCCGCGCTTCTTGGACCTGTAAGTCCATTTCTTTCACCAGCTGGGGGAAGTTTTCTGTCATTATTTCTTCAAATAGGTTTTCAATATCTTGCTCTCTCTCATCTTCTGGCACCCCTATAATTCTGATGTTGGTACGCTTGAAGCTGTCCCAGAGGCTCCTTACACTATCCTCGCATTTTTGGATTCTTTTTTCATTTTGCTTTTCCGGTTGGGTGTTTTTTGCTTCCTCGCATTTCAAATCATTGACTTGATTCTTGCGCTCCTCTGGTCTGCTGTCGGGAGTCTGTATAATATTCGTTATTTCAGTCCGTGTATGCTTAATTTCTAGTTGGTTCCCCAATATAAGATCGAGGGTCTCATTAGTTTTCTTGTAGATCTCATTAAGTTTATCGGCGGCTTCTAAACATTCTTGAGAGACCTTAAAAGTGTGGTTCTGAACTCTATATCTTCCGTTGACAATTTTGTCCTGTTTCTTTGTCTCCGCATTTTGTTATGCTTCCTTGGTGCACCCCCTAGTGGTCTTTGTTCGCAGTCTTATAGTTAAATCTTGATTGTTGTAGCTAATTCCAGGGAGGGTTTGACCTCCAGGCCAAGTGGCTATGAGAATCAGCTGTGTCAGCAGTGAGAGAACTTCTGTCCTCTAGGGAGGTGCTAATCTAGCCTTTGCCTGAGGCTATCCGGCAAATGCCTGTGTGCAGGGCTTGGGCGGGGCGGGTCACACAGGATCAACAGGGTGGGCCTGAGAGAGCAGTTATGGCGGCTCTCAGTCCTGTCCCCAGGGGCTCTGCCTCTCTGAGTCCCAGCACCCGCTGCAAAGCTCAGAGAGAAAGCTGCACTCGCTCTGACCGAAGCCAGACAGTCCCGCTTCTCCCGTTTGAGTCTGGGTCCCTAAAGACTCGCCCGGATCTGGAGCTCAGAGTCTGCGACTCCCTCCCGATTGAAAACGCCAACCGCGCCCTCCGCCGCCAGCCCACTCTGGGCACTCCGCACCTCAGAATTTGACTTCAGCACTGTGCCTCCTCTGAGTGTCCGTATGCGTTTCTCTTTCCTCCTAGTTGTAGGACTTCCACTCAGCCAGCGTTCCTGTGGTTCTGGGTGATGTCCCTTCCGTTTTTTGGTTTCACTTTTGAAGTAGTTGTTCAAAGCAGCAAACTCCGGCGTTAACCTATGCCGCCATCTTGGTTCTCCTCCAGTGTGTTCTTTATTAGTGCTATGTTATTCTTTATTTGCGACTGGTCTTTTTTCATAGTTACTATATCTTTTCTCATGCTGTAGAGCTTCTTTGCCATCATTATGCTGAACTCCACATCAGATTTCTTATCTCCATTTTGTTTACCTCTTCTTCTGGAGAATTCTCTTGTTCTTTTATTTCGGGATTGTTTTTTCGTCTTCCCATTTTGTCTGACTGTTTGGGTTTGTGTCTATGTATTAGGTAGATCTGCTATGACCCAGTCTCTAGTGCAGGACAATGTCAGATGCTGTTTCTGACTAGCCCTGAGTACCGTGTTTGGAGCTATCACCAATCCACCTCTTATGGCTCCCTCTGCTGGGGCTGGTTGCCTTTGGAAAGTACCAAGATGTGCACCAGGGTTTGCTTTTCCTAGCCCAAGGCCAGAAGGAGATCAGAGACTCAAAGCCTCCAGAGGTGCACCTCTGTCTGCAGTCCAATTTACACTCAGTTTTGCTTAGACTCAGACCATCAACTACTGGGTGGGGCAAGAGAACTTCCAACAGGGTGGGGCAACTGCCTTCCCTTCAAGCAAAAACCACCTGGATATCAAAGGTTCTAGAGAAAGATTTTACTCTGTGGGCAGCTGTATTTCATTGAAAAGTGACCGGGATCAGAACCTGGAGAATTGGAGCTGAGTTCCAGGTCTGCTACTTACTGAGTGACCTGAAGCAAGCCAAGTTTTTAATATCCTGGGACCAATGAGAAGTTCAGGGGTAACTCTAGAGTAAATGTTAGGCAAAATTGCAAGATGGTAATGTTGGAGATGGAGGTCAGGTACTTATACTAGTATATGCTTAGGAGCTTGGATTTCATATCTCTAATGCAGTCTTTCTCAACGTTGGTACTATTGACATTTTGGACTGAATAATGTGTGTGTGTGTGGGGGGTGTGTGTGTAGGTGTCTCCTGTACATTTTAGGATGTTGAGCAGCATCCCTGGTCTCTACCCACTAAATACCAATAGCACTGTCCCAGTTACAGCAAATAAAAATTTCTACAAGCATTACCAGATATTGCATGGGGGGCAAAATAATAATGGTTGAGAGAGAACCTTTGCATTAATGCAGAGCCATTGAACCTGGGGTTAGTAGCTGGCTTGTTTGTTTCAAAGAAATTGTTTTTCTGATAATGAACTGTGTTTATTGTTACAAATTTTCATACTCTAGTAAATTCTAAAAATAACGTTTAAAAAGTCATTTAAAATCCCACCAGGCAGAAATAACTGGTTGTTTTTTTTTTAGCATTTGATGAATATTTTCTCAGCATGCTAGAGGATTTAAGGTACTCTTAAGGATTTAAGATCTTGACTTTGTTCTTCAAGTTATAATCTGTTAAGCCTCTTACTAGTTGGCAACCGAGAATTGGGAAGTGGCAAGACTTTTTTGTTTTGTTGGCTTTATAATCACTGTGCACTGGCCCCCAACTCAGTATTTTTTTTGTGTAGTATACTTCTTATAGGTACCACAGTTAGGCTAAATAAACTGGTTTGGTAGGAAAGCATTGGTAATTCATGTTTTTCATGTAGGTTTTACAAACTAGTTAGTAGTTATTATTAAGGTTCTATTATATATCAGATGTGAATCACTGTATCTGAATTCTCAAAGGCCTCTAGAAGCTAGCAAATGGTACCACTACATTATAGATAAGGAAATTAGTACTCAGGAGGTTAAGTGACTTTCTTAAAGTCACCCAGAGAGTAGGTAGAAGAGTCTGATCCCTGACCAAGTCTGTCTGATTCCAGAGCTAGGGATCTTTTCCATACATCACTGCTGCTACACTCATTAACTTTTAGCAGCAAGCACTTGTCAGTCCTTTATGTAAAGGGCGATTAGGTTGCTGAATATTGGACAGATAACTTTGGATGGATGCACACACACATGACTAGATTTACTTCAGTCACTTGGCAAATAGAGTAAGTGGTGGACATGCGAAGATCACACAGGGAGTAGCACTGAAGTATATTTATTGGGGAACATTGTTCTTAGGTGTCACCCCTTCTCCTCCCAGCAGAAGGCAGCATGTATTCATTCATAAGCAATAGAATCATAAAATTTCATAGTTATCTTTACAAAAATGTTTGCTAAATTCTTAATATTTATAATGTTAACAAAAGCTTATTACTTTTCAGTTTAGAAAAAAAAGATAAATGGTCATAAAAACAGTTTATGCTTATTAATAACATGAAAATTTCAGCAGTTTAGGAAAATTTCAACTAATTTAGGAAAATGTTACCCAACAATTAATAGTATTTCTTGTCCTAGCAAATAATGTTTATAAATTAGCTTTTAAAACAGTATTCTAATGATTGTATTTTTTTTCAGAAGATAAAAGAAATTTATTGGAAAATATTGTAATAATTTCTCGGAATCAAATGAAATAGTAAATCCAAATTGCATGGGGCTAATATATAATAATAAACTTCAAAGGATTCTTGAAAGAGTATAATATAATAAGAAGTTGTTAAACCATAAGATATGATTTTTTATTTCATAATTATAATATTTTTTTACCTGAACTAACTTCTGGTTTGTTGAGTGATAAGAGAATTGGATAAAGCCATTTTGTTCTAACTCTGATATTTTTTCCTGCAAACAGAAACACTGTCAGTTGTTGCTGTGGAACTAGAACTAAGGGACTTCTTGAATGTCCTTCCAGAAGATGGCACTGCAGCATTTTTCTTGCCATATCTTCTTTATTGCAGCCAAAAGAAATCATTGACTTGAAGGTATCATTTGGAAATCAGCATAATAGCATGTGAGACTGAATTTAAAAAAATTGAATGCCAAGTAAAAATATAAATAAAGGATTTTCATATTGAATATGTGCATATATTGCAAATGCTTTCATGTTGCTTACCTTACTATGGTATTTCATAATTTATTGCCTGAATCCATTTAGATTCCATCTAGAATCTAAAAACTACAAGGTATAAGAATTTCCTCAAAGAAACCATATATTTTTAAAAGTAGAGATTGACTTTTATTTCAAGGAACATCAATTTACTGTTGTCAGAGATATGACAGTCTTTCTCATCCCAGGACTACAAAGAACCATTTTGCAAGTATGTGTGAAAGAATGTCACTCCATGAGGTCCAAAATTCAGTCTCCTTGATTTTTCCAGTTTTTCTATTGGGTCCCTTTTAAAAACAATTTTCTTTGAGAAAGATGTTAATATTTTCCCACAGTAAAAGATTTCAATCTTTATTATTTTGTTACTTTTAAAACCCACTGCTACCTTTCTTTCTGAATCACATGAAGTAGAATTTTCCAAAGTAACTTTCTTGACTAGCTGTTATCATGATATGCTGAATACATGCTTTTTAGCCAAAACCTCATTTCCATTTTTTGTTGATGTGTACTCCTGCTCTTTTAGCTAGAGTGTATGTGAAAATAAAGGAACATATAATGGTATTCACAACTGTGTCATCTTTTTTAACTCATCTCAAACAATTTTGAGTCCAGGTTCAGCTCATTGATAGTGTGCTTTGACTTTGGTTAAGGCTGGGCATAGTGCTACTCACCAGGCATCTGCCTCAACCATATTTTGAAAGTTTTCTGAGGATTTAATCTATACAATTCTTAACTCTGCCTTTTTTCAGTTTCAGATTCATATCCTTTTGACCATTTCTTCAAGAGTTCATCTTTCTATTTTATTTTAAATACTCCATTAACTTTTACTTTTACTTTTTATTTTATTATTTGTTTATTACTTTATATTTTACTAGAGGCCCGGTGCACAAAAATTTGTGCACTCGGGGGAAGAGGGGGTCCCTCAGACCGGCCTGTGCCCTCTCGCAGTCTGGGACCCCTCGGGAGATAACGACCTGCTGGCTTAGGCCTGCTCCCGGGTGGCAGAGGGCAGGCCCAATCCCTAGGTGCAGCCCCTGGTCGGGCTCAGAGCAGGGCCGATTGGGGAGTTGGGGCACCTTCCCCTGTCACACTCAAGGCAGGGTTGATGGGGAGGTTGCGGCGCCACCCCCTGTCATGCACAGAGCAGGGCCCATCAGGGGGGTTGGGGCTCCATACCCTGTCATGCACAGAGCAGGGTCAATCAGGGGGTTGGGGAGCTCCCCCCTGTCATGCACAGAGCAGAGCCGATCAGGGGGTTGAGGAGCTCCCCCGTCACTCACAGAGTAGGGCCAATAGGGGAGTTGGGGCACCGCCCCCTGTCACACTCAGGGCAGGGCGGATCGGGGGTTGGGGCGCTGCCCTCTATCACCCACAGAGCAGGGCCGATCAGGTGGTTGGGCGCCACCACTGTCACACTCAGGGCAGGGCCAATGGGGAGGTTATGGCTCTACCCCATCACACACAGAGCAGGGCCCATGGGGGGTGGGGGGGTTGGGGCCCCGCCTCCTGTCACACACACAGCCGCAGGGCGATCAGGGGGTTTGGGCACTGCCCCCTGTCATGCTGATCTCGGTGCCAGGAGGCCTCGCGGCTCCGCTGATCCCGGTGCTGGGAGGCATATTACCCTTTTACTATATAGGATAGAGGCCTGGTGCACGGGTGGGGGTCTGCTGGTTTGCCCTGAAGGGTGTCCTGGATCAGGGTGGGGGTCCCCACTGGGGTGCCTGGCCAGCCTGGATGAGGGGATGATGGCTGTTTGCAGCTGGTCACACACCCTTCAGGGTGGGGGTCCCCACTGGGGTGCCTGGCCAGTCTGGGTGAGGGGCTGAGGGCTGTTTTCAGGCTGGGACTGAAGCTCCCAACTGCTCCTTTTTTTCTTTTATTTTTTTTTTATTCTGGGCCAGCTTTAGCTCTGAGGCCTTGGCTGCTGAAAACAGGTTTCTGGCCTTTGTTTACCGTCTGTATTTGATACAATGTTGCGGTCCGGCTGACTGAAGCCCTGCTGAGTAAAGCAGGTTTCTGGGTTTTTTTTAGCTTCTATATTCGCAACATAGTTGCTTAGAGTTGCAGCTGAGAGGCCGGCAAGTCAGGCGGGGAACGTTGGAGTCCTCCGTCACTGAAGCAAGCAAGCCTCCCTGTTCGCATCAGCTGCCTGGCTGCCGGCCGCCATCTTGGCTGCCAGTTAATTTGCATATCTTGGCCCTACTCTGTGAGTGACAGGGGGATTAGCCAATGGGAAGGGTAGCGGTCGTACGCCAATTACCATGTTTCTGTTTTATTAGTGTAGATTTTTAATTATACTTCCCTGTACCCCTATGTCTACTGGTTCCTTAGGAATGATGTCAGCAGCACATTACAGGGATTGATGGGGAATCCAAATATTGGAAACATATTAATGAATCTTAAAAGTAATCCTTTGAGGTCTATCCAAGGACAATATCTGGTCATAGATTTTTTTTAAAATACAGCTTTATATAGCCCCAGTGATGGTGACACAAATGGCCTATATTAATCAATTAAAATACCTAGTGTGTTAGAGTCAGCCATGTGTAATAGTCAGTTGAGCTTTTCGTGTGAAACAGTGTAACACAGTTTCCCCGCAAATGCACAGAAGTGTATGTTTTCAGTCTTCCTTTAATGTTTATAGATATTCTTAAGTAAACATTCTATTCAACACTTTCAATACATTATAATGAATTGGTGGTGGTTGTTTTTTCTTTTCACTTAACACCAATTTATTTCTTTCAGCCAAACTTGGTCTCTATAGAAAAAGAAATTTTAAAACCATTATTAAAAATAGTATATATCATATGTTTAAAAAATGTACATGGTACTTTAAGTATATTCTAATTTTTTAATATTAGTTATTTTGTTTTAATTATTCTAGATTCATTTATATTTTTCTGCTTGCTCTATGTTTAAAAACACGTCTTTCATTCCAGTACTGCTTTGTTTAAAAAAAAATTACTTCCCTCCCTCTTCTCCTCCCCCAAGATCCTTATCTAATAAAGAGGGAATATGCTAATTGACCCTCATGCCGTTGCAAAGATGGCGGTGCCCACAGCCAATTAAGAGGGAATATGCTAATTGACTGCCCTGCCCTCAAAGATGGCAGCGCCCACAGCCAATAAGGAGTGAATATGCTAACTGACTGCCCCGTCCTCAAAGATGGTGGCGCCTACAGCCACAAGATGGTGGTGCCCAGTCCCCTCAGCCCTGCCGAGGCGGCAGGCACGCGGCAAGGCCCCTGCTGCTTCACGCACCTGCCTCGAGAGTCCCCCAGTCCCCTCAGCCACCCAGCCACCCAGGGCCGGCCCAAGGCGCAGGCAAGCCTCAGGTGTTAGCTGCCCAGCCGCCCAGGGCTGCCTGAGGCACAGGTAATCAGGGCTGGCCGAGGCTTGCGCTGCTGGCAGTGACAGCACCAGAGGTGTGATGGGGCGTCGCCTTCTCCTGATCACCAGGTTTCCTCCTGCCCATGAGGGCTCCCAGACTGTGAGAGGGGGCTGGCCGGGCTGAAGGACCCCCCTCCAGTGCATGAATTTTCATGCACCAGGCCTCTAGTTAATTATAAAGGGAAAATAGTAACTTTTACAATGGAGAAACCTGGCTGATACTACCTTAATTAAACACTCAAACATAACCCAGTAATGGAACAAATCAACATCTTCTGCCTCTTGACATGTGTATTGAGAGAAACAATATCACTTCTGTGAGAGTCTGGCAAAGAAATGCCTAATCTGAATCTAATTGTGAGGAAACATTAGGCAAATCCAAAATGAAGGACATGCTACAAAGGGATGGCCTTGCATTCTTTAAAAATGTCCCAGTTGCAAAAGAGAAAGACTGAGGGACCTGTTTCAGACTGAGGGTGACTGAGGATGTGCTAGCTGGATGCGACACATGAGCAGGGTTTTCATTTTCTAGGAAGAATATGATTAAAACAGTTGGGGAAATGGGAATGGGGTCAGTAGTTTGGGATCACTTTTAAGTTTCTGATTTTGATAGATGTGCTGTGTTTATGTGTGAGAATATCCTTGTTTTGAGGAACATAAGTGTATCCTATATAATAAAAGCCTAATATGCAAATCGACCAAACCATGGAAAGACTGGATGCTATGATGCGCACTGACCACCAGGGGGCAGATGCTCAACGCAGGAGCTGCCCCCAGCCTGCAGGCCCCATGGCAGCCAAGGCAGGTGCCATCAGGGGCCCCCCGATCACCCCGCCGGGCACCCCACAGATCAGCCCTGATCACTGGCCAGGCCTAGGGACCATACCCATGCATGAATTTCTTGCATCGGGCCTCTAGTATATTTATAATGTAAATATAATGTAGATATGGGGAGAGACAGGGAGCTCGGAGAGAGAATAAAAGAGCAGATGTGGCTGTGCAAAAGAGCAACATTTTGTGGAAAATAACATCTGGATAACTGGGTGAAGGGTGTATGGGTTTTTTTTTTTTTTTTTTGTACTGCTCTTGCAGTTTTTCTGTAAATCTGACATTATGTCCAAATGAGTTTTTAAAATTTCTTTTCATTAGGTTAATATGGGGTTAGATATTTACCAAGCAGAGTATTACATTGGATTTGGTTGCTTAGGAGAAATACAGACTATACAGCCTCGGCTTATAAGGAACTTAAATCTAAGCAAACTTTTTTCTCTAGGGGTTACTCCAAAATGTCACAGTATAAAAAAAGTACCCCTTTTTATATTTGTCATAGGAGGTCTTTATTATGCTTCCTCTGGTAGGGGAAATGAAGCATTACGTTAAGTATGACAGGACATCCATAATTTTTTTCTAAATTTTTTTGGGGGTGGGGAGGAAATTGTGTTTCTCCTGGTGCATAATACTGAAAGATTTCAAGCTAACCTCCAGTGTTCTCTGTGTGTCATGGTAGGAAAAAACTTATCTGAGATTCAGAATTAATGTAGACTTACCCAAAGCTTTATCAAACTTCTATTTAAAGATAATTCAGACTGATAATGTGGCTCCCCACTTTTCTGTATATAGTTTAAACTGTCTTTTTTTTATTCATTACTGCTTCTTTCAGTCCCATACAATATTTTTCTCTTTGTAAGTGCCAAATTTCTCTTTAATTTTTTTCCAACATGTGTTTTTCCTTCACATTTTTCATTTGTTCTACAGTTTTCTCTATGCTTCCCTAATTTGTTTATTTCTATTGAGTTTTAGAGAGAGAGGAAATGAAGAGAGAAACATTGATGTGAGAATGGAACATCAATCGTCCGCCTTTTGCATGCCCTCCACCGAGGATCAAGCCCACAACCCAAGACATGTGCCCTGGCTGGGAATCAAGCCAGCAAGCTTTTGGTGCACAGGATGATGCCCAACCAACTGAGGCACACCAGCCAGGGCTTTTCTATGGCTTTTTAAAATATATATATATTTTTATTGATTTCAGAGAGAAAGAGGGAGAGAGAGCGAGATAGAAACATCAATGATAGAAACATTCATTGACCAGCTGCCTCCTGCACACCCCCTACTGGGGATCAAATTTGCCCCTGACCGGAATTGAACCCGGGACCCTTCAGTCCGCAGGCC